GGATTCCCTAGCCAGCAAAAGTTTACACTTCTCAAAGCTGCCAAGTTATAAAGCAAAAGAGCTTGGTGCAGTTCCTGGGAATCTCGTTCTTATTGGAATCGATCTCCTCTCTTTCTCATGAAGCGCTGAAATTTGGCAAATTTCCTCTTATACGCAACTCTAAAAACAGGGCCCTTTCACCCTTTCTTCTGCCCCTGAAAATCAGAAGGGCCATTTTTAGTCCCCCGGAGCCTTCAGGGACCTTCAGGAGGCTTCCCTGAAGGCTCCAGAGGGCTTAAACTGGTCCTACGAGCAAACCAGAAGTCCGTTCCTGAACTTCCAGTTTGCCCGTAGGGCTGGTTCTTTGCTCTCCGGAAGCTTCAGGGAAGCTCCTCAAGCCTCCGGAGGGCCTCTGGGAGGGGGAGGGGAGGCTGTTTTCACCCTCTCCAGGCTCCTATAAAGCCTCTGGAGCCTGGGAAAGGGCCTCAAAAAAAGGCTAAAGTCAGCTGGCCAGCGTGCAATTCGTCATCCCGGGTCTAGACTCTAGAAGAACATCAAGGCCCCTTCCAAATCTGCTATTTTGTCATTCCTTTTCTTGTTTTCTTTGCAGACTGCGAAGCGGGGACTGAGCCAGCCCTCCCAACAGACCAGGAGCAGGGTGGAATCCTAGATATTTGGGGTAAAGAAGGATCTTCATATAAACATCAGCCCATATGATTGGCTTCCTGCAGAATAAGAAGGGGGGAAAAAAGCTGATTGTCAGAGTTCACACCCACCGTGCTCATCTCTGGCAAAGCAAGATGTTTGAGTTTGAATCCAGTTTTAATCCATTCCTAGCAACTGGAATTACAATAGCAATAGCCCTTAGACTTATATATCACTTCACAGTGCTTTACAGCCCAATCTAAGCAGTTTACAGAGTCAGCTTATTTCCCCTCCCACCCCGCCAACAATCTGGGCCCTCATTTTACTGATCTCAGAAGGGTGGAAGGCTTAGTAAACCTTGAGCCAGCCAGAATTGAACTGCTGGCAGTGGGCAGAGTCAACCTGCAATACCGCTATGAGGGGCTTTGAGGATATAACAACGGTCGGGTAGAGCATTCCAGGCATTGATTACTCCGGTGCTGAAGTTGTATTTTCTGCAACTGAGTTTGGAGCAGTTTACCTTAAGTTTGCCTGTGTGTTATTGAGGTTGAAGCTGAAATAGTCTTTAACAGGTAGGATGTTGTAACAGACAATTTTGTGTACTTTGCTTAGGTCGAATCGTAGGCTGACTGGTCTCTTTCTTTCTCTGCAGATGATGTAAGAGAGCGTGAGGTTAATGAAGAGAACTCATATTATGGACAAAATGCATTGGAAGAAAAATACAAAATAACTCCTCAGACAAGCTACAAGAATAAGGAAGAGATTGCAGAAATGCAGGAGGAAGGAGCAGAGTCTGAAAACCAGCAGAGGACAGAAAAAGAGGAGAGACAGAAAGAATGTACAGACTCCCTTATCCAAAATACCAGTAAGTCCAATACGGAAGAAATGCCTGTGTACTCCAGATACGGTAGAAGTTATCGCTATAGAGTAGAACGTGATGTAATCCATTCCAGCCAAGATTATGACGAACGTCCCAATTCAGAAGAGAACGTCCAGTGTAATTCCTCAATTAGGCTACGGGAGAAAGCCAAAATAAGTGAGAAAAGGCATGCATCCTTTGAACGCAGGAAAGAAAGTCACTATCAGAACGAAGAACCTCGTCAGTCTTCTGAACGTGAGAAAAAGGTTACTCACGTGGACTCGCCGAGCAGAATTCCAACCTGCCCGACAGAAAATAGACAGTACGAATGCTCGCAGTGCGGGAAACGCTTAAGTACAAGAAGGAATCTGAAATTACACCAGAGATGTCACACCGGAGAAAAGCCGTACAAATGTTTTCAGTGTGGGAAGTGCTTCAGCCAGGCTGGATGTCTGAAGACCCACCAAAGATTCCACACGGGGGAGAAACCTTACAAGTGTTCTCAGTGCGGGAAATATTTCAGGCAGGCGGGATATCTGAAGACCCACCAAAGATTCCACACAGGAGAGAAACCTTACAAATGTTCTCACTGTGATAAATACTTCAGTCAGTCGGGCTATCTGAAGACCCACCAAAGATTTCACACCGGAGAGAAACCCTACGAATGTTCGCAGTGTGGGAAGGGCTTCAGTACGGGAATTAACTTAAAGAGACACCAGATGATTCACACCGGAGAGAAACCCTACGAATGTTCACAGTGTGGGAAGTGTTTTAGGCAAGCAGGAAATCTAAAGAGCCATCAAAGAACTCATACCGGAGAGAGACCCTATCAATGTTCTTAGTATGAGAGGTAACTCAATTGACAACAATTGAGACCGCCTCCTGCCGATTACCTCCCATAGACCGATTAGATCTCACAGGTTAGATCTCCTCCAGATTCCATCTGCCAGCCAATGTCGGCTGGTGACTCCCCAGGGGAGAGCCTTCTCTGTTGCAGCTCCAGCCCTTTGGAATGACCTCCCCGTGGAGATCCGGACCCTTACTACCCTCCCCGCCTTCCGCAAAGCCACCAAGTCCTGGCTGCTCCAGCAGGCCGGGGGGGCTTGTGAAATATCCAGCCCCACAGTAACTGTGAACGTTGTGTATTTTAATGTGTTGTTTTGCTTATTTATCCCCTTCCCTTGTTTATTGTAAGCCGCCCGGAGTCCTTCGGGAGTGGGCGGCATACAAGACCAATAAATTCAAACTCAAACTCCATCCATCCATCTCCTTCTCTGTCCCCCCCCTCTTCTTTTGCCCTCCATATTTCCCAGCATTCTTCAATCTTTATTTTTTTACTTCGGGTAGTCCTCCAGATTAGCAATGCAGCTGATGACTGGACAACCATATTGAAGAAGAGATGATAAGGGGGCGGGGGTGAGTGGAGAGGTTGGATTCCACAATTGTTTCTAAGAGTTTGAGAGCTCTCCACAAGAGGGCAGCAGATAACAAGGCTTGGAAAGCTGCGGTTTCTTATGCGAAGCCGATCTGGTTATTCAGTTGAAATATCTCACCCAATCACCACTTCCATAATAACATAATAACCTTCCAGCAAAGATCATAGTGGGTCATAGGGTCACAAAAATGGAATAGACTGTTTTGTACTTTTGCACTATTTTTTTGCATGAACTAATAGATGATGGAAAACATTTCCAGACTTC